ATGCTCAGAGAAGGGACGCGGCCCAGGAGCAGTGCGCGGCACGAGCTCTTCAGCGCACGAGGCGTCCGAGGCGCCTTCGCAGATCCGCCGCCAAACCTCTGTGATTCGGGGGTGCGTGCGCGGTTTCGGGGGTCAGCCGAGGCATGTGACATTCCCAGAGATCCTGCACCATCCGTTTGCGCTGACCGCTTCTCTCTGTGGACAGAAGAGACGACAGCTCAATTCATGATAAACCATGCCTTCGTTCGCACGCACCACTTTCGGTGTGCAAAACCTACCATGCATAATCCCCTGGCTGCGCTCCTTCCTGTCCCCGTGCACCCCAGAAAAGCCCTCCCATTCCCAGCTCCTGGACAGGTTGAGAACAGACCTCGGGAGGGTGTGTGTGAGAGGCATTCATTTCCCTTCCCTTCCCAGGAATGTGCTGGAATCAGAAAGCAGCATGTGATTAAAAGAGAATAGTCAAGGTTATTTCTGGATATCAGGATCGGCGTTACCGGAATCGGGTATTTATTTCCCACCATCTCCGCACCCCCGTTTGTCTGCTTGGCTTCATCCGATGCTTCTAGACCTCGCCTTCTCCAGCTGCTCTTGATTCAAGTTTCTGGAACCAAACCAAATGCCTGCTTGGAGATGGGGGGAGCAGAGTTGCCAACTGTGGACTGGGAAATTCCTGGCGATTTGGGGGGGGGGGGAGGCAGGGCTCTTTTTGTAGCAGGAACTCCTTTGCATATTAGGCCACACACCCCTAATGTAGCCAATCCTCCAAGAGCTTACAGAACTCTTCTTACAGGAGCTACTGTAAGCTCTTGGAGGATTGGCTACATTAGGGGTGTGTCGCTTAATATGCAAATAAGTACCTGCTTTAAAAAGAGCCCTGCGAGCTCAGCATGGTCTAATGCTCTCGAGTCCACCCTCCAAAGCAGCCATTTTTCTCCAGGGCACCTGATATCTGCAGACTGCAGTTCTGATGTAATTCCAGGAGGTCTCCAGGCCCCACCTGGAGGTTGGCAAACCTAGTAGGGGACAAAAATGGCAGGTCCCAGTCTCTAGAGAGCCAGTTTGGTGTAGAGGTTAAGAGCACGGACTCTAACCTGGGGGAACCGGGTTTGATTCCCCACGCCTCCACATGCAGCTGCTGGTGTGACCTTGGGTCAGTCACAAGTTCTCTCAGAGCTGTTCTCTCAAGGGCAGTTCTCTCAGCCCCACCAACCTCACAGGGTGTCTGTTGTGGGGAGGGGAAGGAGATTGTAAGCCACTCTGAGACTCCTTTGGGTAGTGAAGGACAGGGTATAAATCCAGTCTCCTCCTCTTCCTCTTCTCCTCTCTGTGTTGCAGATCACTGGGTCTTGCTCCCTTCCTGAAGTGTGGGTTGGATCTGGGAATCCTGCATTCGTCTTTGATGTTCCCAGGTATTTTTTCCTTCCCCCTTTTCTCTCCCTGGTGATGCATTAGACTCCCACCCCTCAGGTGCTCAGCGCTGTGGCTGCTGCCCACCACGTATCCGTCCCATGCTCTGTATACTTGGTGCTGGGGGGGGCAACAGTGGGAGGGCTGCTAGTGTCCCTGCCCCACTGCTGGACCTCCTAATGGCACCTGGTATTTTTGGCCACCATGTGACAGAGTGTTGGACTGGATGGGCCTACATTGGCTTCTACGTTCTTAACGGAGCGATCCTTGCCACAACTCATTCTGGGGATGTCTCCCTAAGAAACCTCTCTCCTCTTTTGTTTTGTTGCCTGGGGGGTGGGGAAGATACCTTGTTAACATTTTGTGCAGGCGAATTGCTAGCTTTGCCTTAAAAAAAAAAAAAAAGGAGTCCAGCTACTTCAGGGTTGCCAACTTCCAGGTGGTGGCTGGAGATCTCCCGGGATTACAACTGCTCCCCAGGCGACAGAGATCAGTTCCCCTGGAGGAAATGGCCGCTTTGGAAGGTGACCTCTGTGGCATTATAGCCCAATGAACCCTCTCTCTTCCCCCAACCCCACCTTTCTCAGGCTCCACCCCCCAAAAAACAATCTCCAGGCGATTCCCAAACCGGTTGGCCACCCGAGCTGCTTCCCCAGCATCTCCAGAAGTCCCATCCCAGAGCAGAGAACGGACACATCTGGTCTCCGTTGCACATGGGAGTTAATGCCCACATGTGCGCACCAGGAATCCGTGCGGCACACAGGCAGCCATTTCACACTGCAACTGTGCAGGCACATGTATTTGTCGAGAAGGCCTCATGTGCCCCGATGACATCAGATACGAAAACCAGGCGTCATGAATGAGAACTCTGTTTTGTTTCACGTGCCCCCAATAACTGTCCTCGGCCCTTCTCCCTGGTTTTGGTGTTATGTGCATTTATATGTTTTTATTTTAAAAATTTATGTGCATTAATGTGTCTTCAAGTCGCTTCCAGCTCATGGCAACCCTACAAATCAATAGATTCCAGAATGTCTTATCAGTCGCGCTCAGGTCTCGCAAACCGAAAGCCAAGGTTTCCTTTACAGAGTCGATCGATCATACCTTAGATCTTTCTCTAAGAACATAAGAGGAAGCCAATGTTGGATCAGGCCAGTGGCCCATCTAGTCCAACACTCTGTGTCACACAGTGGCCAAAAATACCAGGGGCCATCAGGAGGTCCACCAGTGGGGCCAGGACACTAGGAGCCCCCCCACTGTTGCTCCCCCCCCCCAAGCACCAAGAATACAGAGCATCACAATAGCCTCCAATGGACCTCTCCTCCATAGGTTTCTCCAATTCCCATTTACACATACTTTAAGTTCAATGTTGATTTAACGCTGAAATGCCTTGGTGTTTGTTTTTATTTACTTTAATGATCTCCTGGCTTTCAGCCCAGTGGGGACCCGAATTGTCGTACGTCATTCCCCCGTCTTCCGTTTAATCCTCACAATCCTGTGAGGGAGGTCGAGAGCATGTGACTGGCCCAAGGTCACCCAGCGAGCTTGCGTGGCACCAGTGTGGACCACTATTTGGGAGGAAAGGCAGCAGAGAAATGTTTTCAGTGCAGAAACAAATAACCACTTTGTGTTCCAATGCCGTTCTGTATGATCCTTGGGGCAAAGGCCTGGTCTCCTTTCCTTTGCTGCGGGTCCTATAAGCCCCTGCTTTCATGACACCCAGGCAGGGTTGCCAGGTCCAGAAAACTGTTGTAGATTTGGGGGTGGAGCCTGGGGAGGACAGGGGCCTCAGTGCGGTACAGTGCCCTAGAGTTCACCCCCCCCCCGAAGCATCCATTTGCTCCAAGGAACTGATATGTCATCTGGAGATGAGCTGTCATTTCGGTCCCACCTGGAGGTTGGCATCCACACCCAAGGAAATACCGATCGCCACTTTGGGGTCAAGTAGCAATTTTTCCCCAGGCCAGTTTGGCCAGAGATCCTGGAGGTTTTTGGTCATCATCTGGGCATGGAACAGCGTGGGTGTTCGTGTGGGGGAGGTATTTGTGAATTTCCTGCATTGTGCAGGGGGTTGGACCAGGCCCGTAGCTCCAGTAGGGCATCTCGGGGCTAGGCCCCTGACTTGCTGGCAAGGCCCCCTGACTCCCTATCCAGCCCAGGGTGTCACAGCCTTCTCCCCCAGATTAATTTGATTAGCCAGTGCCGCCTAAGAAATTTAAGTGCCCCCCAACAACAACTCAAGTTGTTAAGACGCTGAACTGCAGGCTGTGGAAGGCAGTTCGAGACCCGAGTGTGCCGCGTGACGGAGTGAGCTCCCGTCTCTAGTTCCAGCTCCTGCCAACCTAGCAGTTCGAAAGCAAGACATTGCAAGTAGATAAACAGGTACCACTTCAGTCTGAAGGTAACAGCGTTCCGTGCGCCTTGGTGTTTAGTCATGCCGGCCACACGACCACGGAAACGTCTTCGGACAGCGCTGGCTCTTCGGCTTGGAAACGGAGATGAGCACCGCAACCCTAGAGTCGGATTCGACTGGCTTTCGAGCCAGGGAACCTTTAATTTTACTTTACCAACTTGAAAAATCCTAGCTACAGGCCTGGGTTGGACTAGATGATCCTGGAGGTACCTTCCAACTCGAAGATCCCTACGTGACCCAAGGCGCTCAGAGACCCGCAATTCACGCCAGGCGGACTAGCGCCCGTGGCAGAAAGAGTGGGCAGCGCCCGCCTCCTGGCATTCAAGCGGCCAGCAGAGGGGGCTTGGCGGTCGTGCGCTTCCCCCAACGTGGTGCGCTGGCGAGCGGCCAAGACCTGCGGGGGGGGGGGAACTCCCATCGCCCTT